GTGTGTGTGTGTGTGTGTGTGTGTGTGTGTGTGTGTGTGTGTGTGTGTGTGTACCTTGCTCTCCAGCACTCTGCAGTGTGTGTCGTTGCTCAGCTCCTCCAGAGTGTCGACTGCTGGTCTGTTCAGAGTCTCCGGCAGCAGGAGGCCGAGGCAGCCGGCCGAGAAGCCGCTGAGGCAGAACACCGTGAAGGGCATGGAGGTGTGGAGAGCACGCTGCAACACACACACACACACACACACACACACACACACACACACACACACACACACACACACACACACACACGTTAATCTGTGGTTTGACTTTAAGATCAGTTCATAAATCACCAGTTAGATGAAAAACATTATACTTCCTGATCTGAAGTTGAACTTAACTACTTTTAAAAAACTGAAATATTAAAAAATGATCCCGCATTTAATTTTGGATTTCTTTTACGTTTCTTATTTATATTATTAATAGACATTGTTAATAAAGGGGCTATACATAATGCCACCAAACCACCACTAGGAGGTGCTATATGATAAAGTTTAAGTTACACCGGCTGCCAGCACCCAAGGTCAAAGCACAGAGTTTCAATTTGCTCGGTTTCAGGGGAGATGTATCCTTTAAAGTCTTTAGTTACTTCAGCAGATGTGCCGGACAACTCACGGATGTTATGTTATGTATACATTATTTAAATTGGGTTAGATAAAGTAGTTATTTTAAAAAGCAGAGTATAGGTTATTCTATTCATCATTGGACTCATAACTCAAAGTAGGTCCAAACATAACGTATACATGTATTTTAAGGCCAATGTCTTCTCTAGTTTTAACCTGGATAATAATACTGTAACACTGGAAGTGACTAAGAGGAGCTTTGTCATTTTTGGGCGGGTTTCAACATGACTGATCTCATACTTTCTCCACTTCCGAGGAGCTGAATTGTGCCGATCATGTTTCAGCGTCCTGAAGGCATTCATGTGTAAAATCAGGTCAAAGTCTGAGGCACTCATCATGTTTACCTGACTTAGCTCTCACTGAGATATGTAATGTTTATGTGCTAGACTGGCTGCTACTTTCCAAACAACTTAAATAATAGATACTTATAATCAATAGACGAACATAAACAAGACAGAAAAATAAGAATCCATTGAAAGAATTATGTTTTGAAGTAAAATAATCGTATCTCTTTAAAAGGTTTTGTACGTTTTTCTTTAGCTATTCTTGTAGTTCCTGTTTCTACTTTTACTCGTGTGTTATTCTTCATGTGCGTTTACTTCCCTTTTTAAATATTTTCTTAGTTATATCTTTGTTCTGCGGCAACTGCTGAATTCCCCCCGAGGGAATCACCGTATGTCCCTTATTATGCGTCATAAGGGACTTTTCTTCCACAGACCAACTTATAAAACATTTGTGTTCTAACACCTAGTCAAAGATGGTGTCAGAAAGGAGTGTACAAGTTTGTCATGTTTCTCAGAAAAAAGAAAAAAAATTCACTTCAAAGCATTTGCAATGTCGCCTCAGTGATGATGATGCGTGATGACGAAATGTGGAAATGAATAAAGTGATGTAGTCTAAACGTTGTAACACTGTTCTAAGTGTACGCTCCTGTTGTAACAAAGACACATTGTTTTAGTTCCTTTTTGCTCTCTGATAAAAGTTATTGCAGGTCACAGATGACACACACACACACACACACACCATGGAGGGAACAAACGGAGCAATAATTCCTCCAACTCTGCAGGCCATGGAGCAAACTCCCAAACCAGCATTCCTGAAAAACACACAATGGAGTCATTAAAGGAAAGCACACAAGTGTAGTGTGTGTGTGTGTGTGTGTGTGTGTGTGTGTGTGTGTGTGTGTGTGTGTGTGTGTGTGTGTGTGTGTGTGTGTGTGTGTGTGTGTGTGTGTGTGTGTGTGTGTGTGTGTGTGTGTGTGTTAAGCTCACCTGATGACTGTCGGGTAGAGTTCGGAGGTGTAAACGTAGGCGATGTTGAACGCTGCGCTGACCATCAGTTTTCCCAGAAGCGCCAGCGACGTAACGCTCAGCAGAGTCCCTGCAAACACAGATTCCACGGATCAGATGTAATCAAACCGAAGCTAACTTGTTGCTTCATCTGTTTTCGATGACATCTTTATAAAGAAATTGGCCATTTTGATGCTGCAGAACTTTGCAATTGTGATTATTGTGGAAATTCAGGGATGGACTGAATGTAATTATGAATGACGCTTTGCATTTATTGAGTCAAATGTGAAGACATGTTCAAGAAGAGATGAAACATAAAACTAAACTAGGCCCTTAAAATACTTGATTATTTGGAATAAGGATAAAAGAAAAATAGCAAAAGAGAAGAATTACATAAGAGAGTTTAAATACAGAGTTCCTAACTTGGCACCAGAGGCTCATCAGTTCCCTGTCAAGATCATTTTAAATCTTAAAGAGGAAATACAAAACAATGAGTCTCACATACTTTGTGATCCTAAAAATAAGAGCTGGTATTAGTCGGATACATTTTGACTTCCCAGCTCTTGGGTTTCTTTCCTCTCACACTTCCTCCACAGTTGTGCTCGGATGTGTATTTCTCTGTTTAACCCTTATGTTGTGTTCGGGTCTCCCGTGACCCGTTTCAAGTTCAAATGATATAATAACTACCCTCTAGGTTTTTTTTTATCGGAACAAGGCTTCTTGATATCCTCCACAACAGATATACAAACTCTACAAAACTGATTTTTTTAAATGTTAGCCAAGTCTGAAGGTCTCAAAAAAAAAAAAAGTGTATAATTTGGTGTTGGGGTCTGGGAACACCGGTGACTCGAGGTCAAATTTGGCCCAATCAAGATTCATCTTTGACTTTAGACACCCCTCCCCCACCCCCTTCATCAACTGTAACAATAATTTTAAGTCTATTATAGTCAGATAACATCCACTCTCTTCACTATACGGAATATACTGAGCGAATTTGAATCGCATTTTTTACTTAAATATGTGGTGTGATGGGTTTTGGGGCCATAAAATCTCAACCCGTCTGATGTTATAAACTACAGGCCTGTCTCTCTCCTCCCGTTCCTGTCTAAAACACTTGAACGCGCTGTCTTTAAACAACTCTCCTGTTATCTCCATCAGAACAACCTTCTGGATCCGCACCAGTTTGGTTTCAAGGCAGGTCACTCAACAGAAACTGCTCTCCTTGCTGTCTCTGAGGAACTGCTCACTGCTAAAGCAGCCTCCCTCTCCTCTGTCATCATCCTTCTGGACCTGTCTGCTGCATTCGACACGGTGAACCATCAGATCCTCCTTCGCACTCTCCAAGAACTTGGAGTTTCAGGCACTGCACTTTCCCTCCTCACCTCATACCTCAAAGACCGCACCTACAGGGTAACTTGGAGAGGGTCCGAGTCCGACCCTTGTCAATTAACTACAGGGGTCCCTCAGGGCTCTGTTCTTGGTCCCCTCCTCTTCTCCTTGTACACAAACTCGCTCGGGTCTGTCATTAGCCCACATGGTTTTTCATACCACTGCTACGCTGACGACACCCAACTAATTCTGTCCTTTCCCCGCTCAGAGACCCAGGTCGTCGCACGCATCTCTGCTTGTCTAGCAGACATCTCTCGGTGGATGTCTGCTCATCACCTCAAGCTCAACCTTGACAAGACTGAACTGCTTTTCCTTC